GAAAAACATCACTATTTTCCCACCTGTGAATGAGAGGAGTTAGCAGTGGTGGATATTTCGGTGCAGGGGCACATCAGTCAGGATGTTTACATGTTGATCAAAATAGTAAATTTACTGCCTTAGTCTGAAATCATTCAACTTGTCATAGTCAGACTAACATACCTGGATAACAGTACCAAGCTGTAAAAGTGACAATATCTTCAAACATTCTGTCAGCCATTTGCTAACATGCTTAATAAAACTTACATGAATGTGGAAATGTGAGGTAGCATGAGATGCTGTTGTAAAGTCAAGCTGTGGTTATCAGGCACCTTTTGTTTTCAGGGGGATGAGTTCAACTCCCAACCTTTCAGAGGGTCTAATGGTTTTTAATAAATGTGTCTTCATCACTTTGTTTCCAGTCACTTCCATCTGCTGCTCATTAATGTTTCACTGAGGTTGTAAAGAGCTTCACCTCTCAATCTGAATCCAATTAGCACTTTTTGACTGAGGGGACTGTTCACACATTTTGTATGTGTTTGTATCGGTGTGTGAGTGCATGTGTGTGTTTCTTTTATGTCTAAACCCTTGAATCAACCTTTCTAATGCTTCTTTTTAAGCTTCTTTTCCTGTGTCATTACCTCCAAATATAGGCAAATATTTAGAGAAGAAACAGGATTTGCCCCAAGCTGCTTATTTGTCACTTTGCCACCGCAGGAAGCTGTAAACACCTACTGTACAGGAGCTACTTAGTCATCATAAACCCAGAGGTCACAGAAAGGCTGCCAGTTTGCTGCCTCAAACCAACGTGGGACTGTTTAAGTGGAGAGTGGAGAGGAGAAATAGATTTTTCCCTTTGCTTTTTAATAAACAGCAACATAACCTTTTTTTTATCATAGTGCAAAGAAAATAGGATATCTTGTGTAGCTCTCACTTTTAAGGTTTTTCTTGAATTTGGAAACATGATATGAAATGAAAAGAAATGGTCAAATTATTCGGTGCATGTCAGGACTCTGGCTGCAGCTTTCTGGATTAGCTGAAGCCATCCTAAAGATTTTCTGGATTACCCTGTATACAATGCATTGCAGTAATCCAGCCTGGATGAAATGAATGCATGAGGTCATTTCTCTGTGTCAGTCTGGGATATAAATAGTTGTATCTTTGACATTTTTTTCAACTGGTGAAGTGCTGTTCTTGTTGCATTGGTAATATGGTTTTCAAAGCAAAGATCCAATACCAAAGTAGCACCAAGATTTCTGACCTTCTCACTTTGTTTCAAAGACGTCGATTTTAGGTGTAGATGGATTGTCACTCTCTGATTTTTGGGGCTGAATGTTTCAGGTTTTTTTTTGAGTGAAGCTTTTGAAGGTTTATGAACATGTACACAGTTTGGTAACTGGCTGAAATCACTGGGTGTGACATAAACTGGTATCATTAGCATAGGAATAGTGCGATAGTGTGTGTTTTGTAAGGACTGCACTGAGTGGGAGCATATAGATTAAAAAGGAGAGGATTGAGGACTGGTCCTTGGGGAATGCCAACGATGACTGTGTACTGAAACTTAAAACTACCTCTTTTAGTTTCCTCTAAACCTTTCTTAGTTTTATCCAAAGAATATGTACTTTTTCTTCTCATTCATTCAACACCTGTCATTGTGTGTGCTAAGATAGGCCCTGAATGCTGTTGTAATTATCCCTGTGAGGGGAATCATTGTAACACCCTGAGTATGTCTTTCTTGGTTAAAATGCAGGGATATATGTTTTAAAGATGACAAGTGTACTTCAAATCATATGTGAAGGAAAATATGTGTTACAACTGACCCTGGTCTCCTCTACTTCTGCCATGTAGACCTGTTCATCTCCTCTGTCTAATATTGTTCAGTGTGAGCGACTCAGCTTGTCTGTTTCTAGCTTGTCTGGAGGTGTTGGCCCACAACCTTGACCAGTTTTTGATCACAGTTTCTGAAGAACTGGCTTTTTATTCAAACTACTCTGCCCAAGGTTCTGGATTTGGGTCCTCCCTTGTTGCCAAGCAAATGAACTGTGACAGGCTTTAATAATCGAGGCATTAATCTGAAAGTAAAATTCACAGCAAATGTACTACAAAGCTGTTTTAGTTTTGGATAAATGGCACAGCATCACTGTTTTTGCACAACATTTTAAAAGAGTACTTTCGTGCAGCATCTTAATTTTGCTTTATGACTTTCCTGCAGACAGATTTTTGACTCTAACTGTGTCATAGATGTGCTGAAGGACATTTCAGAACGACATTCGATTACTTTCTCACAGATTAGTTGCAGGAATAACTGAGCTCAGGGTCATAAGAAGGTCACCTTAATCACCAGGCCCCCCTCTGTTACTGTCAAATACATTCCAATATTGTCGACCCGGAGTCCCTGCAGTAATAAATACCCTGCTTGTGCTGCGTGTTGAAAATTAATAACATCAATCAAGCCCCCTCATCAGACCACACACATAAACTCTGCAAACAATGTAATATACGTGGTGTTTTATTCAAAGCACAACACTCATTTTTCTTTTCCTGTGGGTTATTCCATGAGTGAAATGAAGCGACACTGTTTAGAGCCACAGCTGTTATTATTTACTGTCATGCTGTACTTCTCGCTCTTCCCACAACTTATTAGGGGATTATTTATGTCATCCTTCAAGACTGAAGACAGATTTATACAGAGGATGGAAGGTTTGCAAGTTTTTACCTTGCTCCTCTGTTCTGACTATCCTCCTACAAAAAAAAGTCAGTTTTGGAGTCCACTGAAACAAAGCAATCTTTGCTTTTCTTGTCATCTGTTTATGAGACTAGAAATCTCACACTGTGGTCTTTAGGCTGTCACATATGTAATTTATTGTGAGTATTTTTTTGTGAACAACGCTGTCCCTTCAGCCACCCAGCTGAAACCTTTTAGACATTAGAGTATGAAAATCACCGATCTCGTCACTGATGGTCTTGTTTGCCTTTCTTCATCATAAAAAGCATCAATTTGAATCGAAATCTATTTCAGAGATGTCAAGAACTCCTCGCAAGACCTTTAGGTATTGATTTTTCTATCTGCCAGTATCAAGATAAAGTGAAACGCAGTTCTCTAAACTTTTTATATCATGAAATGTGGATATACACATACAAAATAAATCATTATGTGCTCATTTCAGAGATGGAGAAAAGTTAAGTCTCATTCTTACATAAAAAGCTACCTGACAGATTAAGTCAATTTGCTTATTCATCTATCAGGTGCTTCATTTTTGAGGAAAGTGTGAAAAATATTAAGCTAATAAAAAATAGAAAATTTTCCAAGTCATGCAGCTAAAAAGTTGTTGATTCTTCTGAGCTTGTCACACCCAATAACATCCAATTTTCAGTCCTCTTCTGAATAACTTGATCAAAGTTCTTCTGATTGTTTACTGCCCCCCTGTGGCACACTCTCTGAAGTACAGTTTGATCCAACAGTCAGCAGGGACTATACTGTCTTGAGTTTTAACACATCCAGTCACACTTGAACGTGTCTGTCACTATAACAAGGCCCACTGAAGAGTTCAGCGTCATGACCTTTTGGTCCTGTAAACAGTCACTATGTGGTGTTGACGTGACTGAATATAGCACATCTGGATCATTTGTTCTATGTGAAGGTCACTCATCAGGGCTTATTTATAGGTACACTTTATGTGCGGAGACCAAGGTGGCTTTTGTTATCAGTTTGCACAACGGACAAGGAGTGAAAGAGCTTTTCAGTATGGTTAAACACATACTGTGCACATGAATACATTCACATAGTTCAGTTCAGCTACGACGGATTATTCACATAATCGTCAGACTTGGGTCACGTTCATAATTGTACCAATTGTACTTCTGATTTCAAAATTACCTCAAATCAGTATGGCCAAATTTCAAGACAATAGTTTATAACCCTAATTCAGCGGCTGCATCCCTTCAAGGGTGTATTTAAAGACAGGTTTCATCACAGGCCTGCTTTAAAGTCACCTTCAAATGTGTTTGGCTTTTCCTGGGCCTAAAAACAGTCTGTAACACAATAGGGGTGGAACAGCTGATGATGCATATAAGAAATCTACACCCCACTGTTTCATTTCAGATCAGATTGTGTTTAACAGGTCTAGTGGGCTATGATGGCTCGGTCTTCCTAAGGATCCTGCCCTTGAATCGGTTAACAGCTACTGTAACAGCGCATCAATTGTTATCCTGCATACTTTGGAAGTTTTCAAGCATGTCTTACATGCCTGAAAGATCTGTATCAGCTGTTTAAACAGACCTTTCCATAAACAGCCAATAAAACTACACATTAGGCCAAGTGACCTGTACTTCTAGGGATCTTGAAACTATTGTTGGTGTTGCTATCACACTTGGAATAACAAAGGCTTTGGCAACGGCAGCTAGTCAACCTACTGACACACACAGAAGACGGGCATGTATGTGAGCAATGTGTAGGACAACAATGCAGGCTGTCCAGCTCAAGTTTTGCTTTCAAAGGCTTGGAGTTACTGAGGACAACGCCATGGCTAAAAATACTCCGCCCAGGTGTTCAAGGGTCTAAGATTCGCCATCTGCTGGAAGGTCTCCAGTGGTTTATTTCTGTCATTATACTCTGAAAATGACCTATCGAGAAGATCTTTGACTGAACTCAAATGACACACCAGTCGTATCAAACAGGGTTTTCTTTGCTGGTATTCTGCTAGAGGCCATTTTTTAAAACAATTTAATGTTTTCTTTGTCTGTTCAAAATGTCCAAAGCTTTATCCCCTCTTCATGATGACATTTCAATGTAAGAGTTTCCTTTAAATCTTATTTGTGAGCGTTTATATCGGATATATCCAAGATCTATTTCAGCATCATGAGCCTGAGCGTAGGTCCACCTGTTGCTCCTCTTTCCATCTTCCTTTTTTAAATCCATCATGAGTTAAGCTGCTTTCCAGCCTCTTACATGCCACACATAAACCAACTGCTGCCAGTACAATGAAACTTGATAAAGTCAAATACAGATATGGCACATCAAGATTCAACTCTGCTTATTCATATCCTCTTTAATTGTCTAAAGATGTCATAAGAAAACAAATAATCTTTGGTGATAATAAAAAAACAATGGGTTTCTACTCATCATACACTTTCTTTAAGTGCTTTGAGTCATTGCACCAACTTGTAAATGGAGGCTCAGCTGAAGGCCTAATGCTTTGGCCATGTAATACTCCATATCTTTGTCTAAACACTTTTTTCCTTTGACTAGCTGACCAGCTTCATCTTCCAGTATCTCACTGTGCTCCGCCGCCTGTATCAAACATCTTCTTGCGGCCCTCCATGCCTGACATGGCCTCCACGTTTTTACGCCAGTCACCCACTTCAGTAGTGAGTACCTGTGAGTAGAAAAATTAGGAATCAAAACACATTTTCATGACATCTATTCTTGGAAAACCTCAAGGAGTTTAGAAACCAGCAGACTGAAGTCTTTGATACCTTGTCCTGTTTGACATCCTCTTTCTTCACAGACTTCAGGTTGGCTCGGAGATCCATGGAGCCCTTGTGTTTGGAGCCCAGGAGAGCTCTCATCATCTCATCTGCTGACACTCTCACTTTCCTCAAGGCGGGCTTTTTGAACTTACCGCCAAGATCCTGGATCTTCAGCTTCAGCTCATGGATCTAAAAAGAGAAAAAATATATATCAACAAAAACCTATATTTATTCTGAGTTTGTACTTCTTGAAAACTTTTCAATCAATGCAACAATCAGTTTATATTTCTGTACCTCTTAATCACAACAACAGTTATGACAGGTTTGGACTTGGTTTTTGTTAAGTTATTCAAAAAGACAAAACTTAATCTAGCACTTGGCAGCTTTAGCAAGAGAAAAACCTACTTTTAACAGGCAGAAACCTCAAGCAAAACCAGATTGATTGGTATCAGCCATCTGCCAAGACTGAAAGTGGTGGATGTAGAGATAAGAAAACCAACATTTTCCCCCATAATTTGCAACCACTTGGCAAAAAAGAGGGCTGAATCTCCATTTTACAGGCAGATCCTTTGGACAGAGTTACACACATTGGTAGACAGCCATCTGCCTTAATTAGATGGGTTTTATCATTTATATCATTGTGATTTTCTCTGGGCGATGGAAATTTAGTACAGCATTTCAAAAACTGAACAAACTTTCAGCAACTCACAAGGCCTTCTTTTATAATTAAAAACATAAACTGTCCTCACTGTGAGTAGGTGAACTGACTGAGAACTTACATCTTTGTTGTGTTTGTTGACTTTGGATTCGCAGTCGTACCGCTCCTCATCCACAACATCGATTTTTGAGTGGAGTTGTTTGCATAGATTCTAAAAAGGGAAAAAGTGCAGCAACCTTATAACTCAAAACATACTCAAACATTTGGAGTCATTGGGAAGCGCTCTTCTTCTGTGTTTAATGACCCGTACTTGTAGCTCTTGAAGTGGCAATCCAGACAGCTGCAAAGGAGGCAACTTCTCTCCTAAATAGCGTACTTTCTCCTCCTCTCTCTCCTGCCTTTCCCTCTCCAAGTCCTCACAGGCTCTCGTGAGGAGAAGCATCTTATGGAAGAAAACAGGCACAACATAAACCTTTTAGTCAGGGCCATAATACCCAACAGAATCAAAGTGTATATCAGGGTTTTAAATGGCGACCACATAAAGACCTTAAAGACTTAGATTTATGGCAGAATATACAGCTTAATGTTGGTTTAATGGTGGGAAAAGGCAGAATATGTCAATAAGTGTCATTTTCTTAACATATTTAGGACATCGACAGTGCTGATATACAGATATTTGATATCATCAGAGAGAGCTGTTAAGGAATATCGGACAAAAACTAAAAAGATTGCTCATAATTACCTTCAGGGAGAGCTTCCGAGAAGCCGAAATCTTCGACTTCGGCTGTGGAACAAGAAGTTTGTCATTTTTATTTCACAACAAAATGGATCATTAACTTTCAATCATGGTTTATCCAAAGTTACAGGAACTTTTTAGATTTCTAAAGGAGGACTCGGTGCTCAGGAAGGGCAATGTTTATATCTGCAGAGAATAAAGATGCATATGAAAAAATAGTATCAACTTTTAAACACTGCAAAGTTGTTTCAGGGCTTTTCTGTATAACTGACTCCATATAAAGTAATATTTGTACAGAGGGCCTGCAAGTGTCAGAGTCAACACTCACAGCAGTCGCATGTAGAGAGATAATGATTTATTATTAGGATGAAGTCAAGGGGAAAGCTCTCAGTGCTGCTGATAACTCTCTTAGATAACCACTGCCAGATCTCTGCCTTGTGTACATAAGGACAATGTGTCCCCTCTCCATGCATGGAGGATTAACACTGTAGAGAGTGGCTGGCTCACCTTATCCTTGAGATTCATCTCTGCGGGTCTGTTTGACTCCTGAAACCACATACAGGGAAAAAATTAGAGGAACAAGACTCAAGGTTAAAGCAGGTCCAGAACATTTTATTCATTTCAAAAAATAAGTATAAACCATGAAAGAAACATCAAGGGATGGAGGATTAATTTCAAATGTCTTACCTCTCTTCAACTATAATCACAAAGACAGACGACAGAAAAGAAACATAAAAAGAAAAAGTCAGAAGTAATACAGCACCCCAAAGATCGACAGTGTAATCTGACAGTCCTCAAAATCTTCTGACAAGAGGATTGAAGCAACAACTTGACAATAGCAATACCTTCTTCTAAATCCATCATCCAGCATATCATTTTGAACAAATTTACTTCAATACATTTGTTATTAAAGGTCCCTATTTGTCTGAACACACAGCACTGGCAGCCTGAAACTATAAGCCCATAATAGGGAATACATTTTTTAAGTTTAACAATAAAAAGTGTCGCATTGTCTATGATAACTGTTACTTTAAGTTTTTGCAACTTAAGAGTTATGCTAGAGTAGCTCTAGGAATACTACATAAAACTTTAAGTTAGCAAAATCAATAAACACCCAATAATTCTGCAAAATACACTCCAGAAACGAAATAAAATATGGTTACCTCACTGAAAGACACATAAATTCTGATTACAGCGTATAACAGTGGCAGTTTTACCTGTGAATGGTCGTCTGTGGAGTTGTAGAGGGTCAAACAGTGTCCGCTGCAGACAATAGGCAGCTTTTTATGAGAGCAGAGTGGCACATGGACAGCAGATATAACGTCGGCTCCCAAGAATGTGCTGGCATGAGACCAAACATGAGATATCACCCCCCCTGACACTGAGACAACTCCAGGGAAGACTTATAATGAATCATGGAGCAACACTTTAATGGTATTGTCCTGACATCGCCTCTTGTTGCTTTAAGACGGTCTTATTCCTGTCGCATTAGATAATAAAAAAATATTGAAACCTTTGCTTCTTTGACATTTTGCATATAAAAAACAAAGCTGAGTCTCTTAAAATATGCTTATTTCTTTCCTGCCTGAGGGTGGAGCTTCAGCAGCTGGTCAGCTCAGCTAAGCAGACAGAGAAACCAGCCTGGTTCATTATGGGAAACACTTTCTCAGAATTCAGTACAGGTTTCTTAATTCATTCATCACAATGAATAAATGAATAAAGGTGAAAACGCAAATCTGTAGCTTTCAAGAGTTCACAACCTGACTGTTTATCGGGCAGGACTAGATGCTTGGCAGCAAGCAGCATGTTAAGAGAGTAACAGTGCAGTAATGGGGTACAATACTTGCCCAAGGCGTCACACATAGTAAAAGCACACAATCACTTGCTAAGATTAGGTCAAGCCCCACACCCATCATCGGCTACATTTAGCAAATGTGAGACAAATTTAGTCACAGTATCAAAATCTAATCTGAAATACTCAACTATTTACTTTCTAACCGGGTCTTTGTACTTATTACCTTACTAAGTATTTGTGTTAATCCCACAGTTTTCCTCTGTACATCAGCCACATAGTGACTGTACTGCTCTAACTTATCCAGGGGGGGTAAATGTAGTGTAGAGTGACGTAATCAAGGTTAAATAACTGGAATTAGCTCCTGTGACATCTGATCTATTCTAATCACTGTTATTACCATAAAAATACTGGTTGCTGTGATTATGTAGAGACCCAGAATAACAGGACGTTGATCCCATTTGCTATAATGGCTCCAAGTTTATCGGGAGAGGAGTTGGAGGAACAGTTTGAATAGCTGCTGCGGTGATGATATACAATTAAATTCAGACTAAAAATAGCCTGGGAGGCAGAAATGAGGAAGAAAGAGAAACAAGAAGAAGAAGAATGTATTTAAATGATCTCAGGGAAATACATGCAGAAAGCTCAGATACCCTCTTTTCCCACAACACATTATGTTTTGGGGGGCTGTGTTGGTGCAGCAGCTTATGCTTTCGTTATATATACCCATTTGTAGAAGAATGGTGACTTAGCTAACCTTATCATAGTTAGCAGAGGAGCAAATACATGCAACCTTAGCTGTGGTAGTCTTATTTGATCTCAAAGTCTTGGATATACTGCTCTATAATGGCTCCATAGCCAAAATATTAAAGTTGATAAAATTCCCTTTAACTTAAAGTTTCACCTGTCTATTGAACTGTTTTGCTTTAACCTAAGTCAACATGCTCATCCTGTTACATAGATGTTTGTGTATTAGCGTGTGCTGTCAACAGTGTCTTGACCTGACTTCATCGGGAGTTCAGAGCACGCGCATGCTGATCTTGGTTTGATCTCTGACACTTCTTGCTAATCACTTTAACCCCCGAGCATCAAGTTTCTGTTCTTTCCACTTGCTTATCCTGGAATAAAGCTGGCAAGAGTGATAAGATGGTTTTGGTAAAGGAGGCATTAGTTCCAAGGACACCTTAAGAAGAGTCACATGTAGCAGTGAAAAGTCAAAGCTAAAACTTAGCTCCCACTGAGTTGTAAGGGCTTCTCGGAGATTAGAAGACTAAGGGAAGATAATTCAGGAGATTTGTAAGCAGCAGTACTAGCATGATAACACTTTACTTAAGGATTTAATGTCTGTTATTTGTCTGTCGTACATCTCCTGTTTGCACTGTATTTGATCAATCAAGTCATTTTTTATTTACAGTTTAATCATGATTTAGGGTTAGGGGTAATCTCATGCACCTTACATTTCAGAACAAAATTTGACCTCGGTCTTTATAGTATTACTTACAAAACCCAGATTTAATCTCCTTGTCTCATTAACAAGCAGAAGGTTTTTGTAGTATTCTGCTTGTATTTTAACTCTCATTGGTACAAAAGCAGTCTGCTGCAGCAAGCTGGGCCAAAAAAGTGAGATGGAAAAGGATAAAGAAAGTTATGCAACAAATTGTAGTGCATTTTGATGACTTTTTTTTAAGTATGCAAGCACACAATTACTTAAAAATACAGCAAAAACTCAAGCTTTCTGTGTGATTTTCAGTAAATGTTGCTACATTAACCAGTACATCTAAAAAAATTGAATATGGTTGAAAATCTACATTTCTTTTTCATTAAAAGTCAAAATATTCAAAGTAAGAATAAGAATAAGAACAAGAATAAGAAGAACTTCATTAATCCCAGAAGGGAAGTTCTATTGTGTGTCTCACATAATATGTCTCTAAAAGTTATCTACTATTTACACAAGAGTTATGAAGTCTGATGGCTGGTATACTATAACACAAAATAAATTATTTTAATAATGTGAGATATGTATTTTAATTTTTTTTTCACAGTAGGCTACAATCACCTAAATTAAAACAGACTGAAACATTGTTTTTGCCAAGTAATGAGCCTAGAATATATTCAACTGTCACTTTCTTAGATACCTGATGGAAAATATTAATTTTTTTTACAATTTCCTTTTTTGTTAGATGCGTTGTATTGTTTATTGCATAGTCGAAGAAGAACAAAAACTTGATATACCTCTTTTCATCTTTGTATCATGTTTATAATAAAATACAGTGATAATGATAATGATGAAGCTTAAGAAAACGTGAATGAATGAATGAATGAATGAGTGAGTCTTTCATTCATCAACAATATTTCTTTTGCAGATGATGCCTCAGTTACTGTGCAAGAATTTAATTTGTGTTATTCAGCTGGTGCCACAGAGCAAAGTCTACGCATTTCAATATGCCACAAGGTATGATGCTATGGTATGATCATTTCAATCAAATCCAATAGTTCACATGTCTCAATATCTTTCTGTCTTATGTTAATTTAAAACTGTCACCCTGAATTTTCCATTTGTTGAGCCTTTGTGAAAATTAGCCTGTGAACTTTCTGTCTAAATTCATTTCCCAGGTGTTTATTTCTGCAGATATGTAATCTATTTGGCATACAACAACCAAGTTCCAGATATAAAGGATCATCGTGTCAAACGCTATTTGATGTTGTTTAATATAACAGAGAGGGGACAGGAGCTAAAGAGACAATACCTCAGTGAGCAATGAGAGGCAATAAAAGGAGGAAGACACGGGGGACAACAAATGTTCTGTCATCATTTTTTTCAGTGATCCTCAGCAGGTGGGAGCGCTATTCCTGATGTAACCCAACCCCACTCTGTCTCCACACAAACACACGCACAAAGAGAAAAACACAGGGAGGCCTTGGTATCAGGGAAGTGCTTGTAACGCACTTTCTACTGTTGCAGCTTTCATAAATAGATAAGTGACAGCTCAATGTGTCGCCCTGCAGTTCTCCATATGTGGTCGTAAATCTGAGAGAATGAACATATTTTGAATCTGTGGAACGAATAAAAAGCAAAACATGCGCATCACTCTTTAAGACGAGCTGTCGATGACTGATCATCACCTGCTCATGAAAGGTTATTTGGTTTATCAGTCATTCACACATAATCCATCTGAACCTGCTGTCATCATGACCCAGCAGGCTCAGCCATGAGGTGACTGGATGTTGACTTTAAGGTTTTTGTCATCATTGTCAACCACCCTATGCTGATCTATCCGTAGTCATGCAAACTGCAAAATCTTTGAGTAAATTTATACTGTTCTCCCCTTTTTCTTTGTAGCATTACCGGAATAGTTTTAAAGCACCCACTGCTCGTAAAACAGGACTGAGTTGAGCACGCTAGTTAAGACTTTCTGAGCTTCCCAGTTAAATCTAAGATTCCACTCAATCATACTGAGTAAACTAATTTCCTTTACAGTAAAAAATGTGTTTGCAAGCTAGATAATTTTATCATCTTATTTCAAATATAATCAAAAATACTCTCCGCTTGAACTAGCAATAGCTTCTAAATGCTATATGTGTAAGTACTTTTAAAGTTATTCTGAATAATATGTTATTAATTTCATTTTTGAAAACAGGACTCAGGCTGCTTTAGACTCTGCTTTGGATAGTTCATACATTTTGCAGACGATAACTATTCTTTTTTTTCCCTCCGTTTTACTGATTTATTGTTGCGTTTTGAATACTGTAACTCTTGTTTTTCTGCGTTTTTTTATTTTATTTTATTTTTTTTCATGTGAAACTTCTTGTGCTCCTTTCCTGGCCAGGACTCCCTTGTGTAAGAGATTCTGAATCTCAATGGGTTTATTTCCTGGTTAAATAAAGGTTACTAACTAACTTTGAATGCAAAATGCTAGTAGTTGGATGTTTCTATTGTTGGTATTTTTCCAGCAGCTACAGTAAGAGATCATATTTGAGTATTAAAACAGTAAAAACTGGAAAATGTAGGTTAGAATGTAGAGCTTTTCTTATAGTGCTTTTTCATCCATTATGCAGATGATACCGTCCTTTTTCTCTTTGTTCAATTTATGCATGAACATCAGAGTTTTTTCATCTGTGGTAATTTATCAAAAATGTTTAAGAAAGAGAACTAAATGCTTTGACGTTGGTATTTGTATTGTGACAGTCGAAAAAGTACAGCCCTAATTCTACAAGGAAATACTCTGTAAATCATGTAAAGCCAGGGGTGGAAGTAAGCCGGTACGCAGCGGTACGCTTTACCGGCAAGACATAAACAGCAGTTTACAGCCGGTACACAGCGGTAGGCCGTACCGCGAAGACATAAACAGCACTTTACCGCCGGTACAAAGCGGTATGCAAACTTTCACCCCTGTAATGTATGTAGGCTTCATTTGCTTACCGTGTTGCCGCACGTCAGTCTGCAATCCGCATAGTAACCGTAGTAATCCAAGAGGACCGTTCAGTTTACGAGTGAGTCGTAATTGCTTCCGCAAACAAAGTCCAAAAGAGGGCGCGTGCAATGCGCAGTTTTGATTGGACGCTGGTTACCTGATTGGACGCTGGGGATCGCCTCCCGCCTTTTGCGGAAGGGGGGAAATTTTAATGAGACAGCTCTTAATGCGGAAATAAAACAAAATGCAGAGAAATTTTTATTTTAAGTTCAAGAGAAAGAGAGACGCAGCAGATGATGATACTGTGGAATCAGAGTCGGAAACTTGTTAAACTTGGGTGTGCTCCTCTTGTACAAAGCCTACAGGTACAGTACCTACAAGAACCTTATCCTACTTTCACCCCTGTGTAAAGCCTAAATTCAAAAACAATAAGTCAAAAGTTAAAACTGAAAGTTATTGTTTTATGAAACTTAGACCTTCATTTTTAATTTTGTAAACTTTATGCACAGACACATACCCAAATGTAAAGGCACCATTGATGCTGAACTACATACTTTAGAGCAACATAGGTTGCCATCCTGACAATGGCTTTTCAGGGAAGACCTTGCATAATACAAAAAAAAAAATTACCAAGCTACATTTACACATGCTACAACAGCATGGCTCTGTAGTGGAAGAGTCCAGGTGCTTAAATCGCCTGCCTGCAGTCTCAACCTGTCCCCTATTACAATCATTTGGTGCAGTATGAAACAAAAAATACAGCAAAAACAAAACAAAACTGAAAAGCAGGAGACGATAACAGTTTAAGTTTCAAAATCTGATTTGTTGTCTTTGCCCCATTACACTTAAATACAGAGATAAAATGATTTACAAACCCACAAATTCAGTTTTTATCATTTTTTATTTCATTCATTTTCAACAGCACCCACACTCTTATGTAATTGGGGTTGTGTACTACCATGTATGCCTTTACTCCTGGTATGTTTCGCCCCCTTTGTCTTAAATGTGAATATATTTGTGATAGTTATGAACTTGATATACTGAAATATTTTATACAGTACATGTACATTGCTGACATGGCCACTCAGTTGCTTCCGGCGTCTAATAAACTCTTTCTAAAGTTCAGAACAATTCAGACTTCATATCAGGCCGAGGGGTTGTTCCACCACATGCTCCCCTGTCTGTCTTCTCTGACTTTCCAGATCTCGTCTTCCAGGGTGTATCTTTGTTTGGCCACAGGGCACTGAGAGCAGCTGATACATGTCCACAGCCAAGTAGGCTCCAATGGCATCACTCTAACCTTGACTCTGCCCTTAAAGTTCCCCAACAGGGTGCAGAGGGTGTAGTGAGCCGCCAACATTTCTCAGCTGGCTGCGGTTCTGTCAGCTTTATATCCTGACAAAAGAGGAGGAGCTGTGAGATAACTGGGGGATGGTTCTTGATATTGTGTGTGTGTGCCTGTTTGTAAGCGTCTCAAGTGAGATACTTCTAAGTTAATAGACCACCCAGTAGCTTATAAAACGTTGTTTTTTAAAGATAATAGCAAATAACTCAAGTTTTGACATGTTTATCTTTCTGATAATACCCCACTAGAGACACATTAGGAGTACAAAGAATCTGTTTTATTCTGAATGCAGCATGTGTAGAGATTTTTGTGCTTTTCATGCAGATTTTTATCTCAGACTCTCTGCTCTCAGTAAACACTGACACTGGTCACAGCCAGGAAGAGGAGTATCCTGTTTGTCAAGTCAGATAGTGCAAGTTCATGTGAAAATGCCCTGTGTACCTCCATTGACACATGCGGCTAACTTGTTGTTTCATGGGAAAAGAAAGGAACATGAGGGAGTGAACACAGATATGATGTAAACACAGCTTGATCTTCTTGGAAGCAGCTGGTGCGCATGAAACTATTAATTTTAGGGGGGCTGGGGCAGAATGTGAGAGTTGTATGCAGAGCAGAACAGAATAATGAGGTGATATAAGTGTAAAATTATGTTGTTGAAACAGCTGCAGCAGCGTCTCATCATCTTACAGCTGTTTACTTTGAGTGCAGATCAAGTCCAGCAGAGGGCAGCAGCACCTCACATTACAGATCTCAGCGGGGTGTTGAGGCCGAGCAAGCAGAAAACATAAAGCGTGCAGGGTTTATAAGGAAGTGTGGAGAGAGACTGTCAAAATAAAAGATCATGTGTCGTTTGAGAAGACTTAAGTCAAGTACTTTAATTGCACATTCTTGTAAAATACAGTGAAATGGCTGTCTAAGCCCCTACAATAAGCGAATCTGAAGTCTGTCCATGGCTGTGACAAATAAGAAAGGCTCCTAGCACACAAATTTATGTTCTTACTACTTAAACTATGATGTACTCACAGAGAACTTAAAGACAAAAGTCTGGCTTGGAAATCTAAAAAGATATTTGAAGCATGCCAGTTTAGCTTGGATTAAGTGTACTAAGATATTTTTATTATTATTATATTATTTTATCATTATTATATTATTTTATCATTATTTTATTATCATTATTAATAGCGTCTTTTTATATTTACTATCCTGTTTCCTGCTTTTTACCCCCCTTTTTTATTAGTCTTTTTTTATTTTATTATTATTATTATTATTATAATCACTTAATAAGGTTTAATGTCATCTGTTAGCCGTAAGCAATTGATGCAAAATTTGTATGCTTTGGCAAAATTTTACTTGAAAACTGAGATTAGACGTTGCAAACTTTCAACGGCAAATACTAAAGTAATTTCCAACGCTTTTTAGCAACTTTTACCATCTCTGTAATACCTAATTCCTACCGTACTGAACAATTTGGGGTGGCAGTAGCTCAGGAGGTAGAGCGGTTGGCCAATAACTGGAAGGTTGGTGGTTCAATTCCCCCCTATCCCAAGTCTGTCCGTTGTGTCCTTGGGCAAGACACTTAACCCACCTTGCTCCCAGTGTGTGTCCTCCACTGGTATATGAATGAATGAATAATGTCCAAAGTAAAGCGCTTTGAGGTCACTGACAAAAAAAAAGTGCTTAAAAATCTGATGCATTATTATTATTATTATTATTATTATTATTATTATTATTATTATTATTATTATTATTATTATTAATAATAATTCATTTAGGTCTATCAGTAAAAATAAATACTGAAACTTTAGAAGTTTGCTTATTTACATTATTATTTACAAGCTTTTATTTTGAAGGGCCTTTCCCGTTTTGACTCGTGCCGTTCGTGTCAAGCTTTGTGGTTCTTCAGCAGCACAAGAAGCACTTTGTCTCGTGAGGGGGGTGTTGACAGGAGGAAGAGGGGGAGGCGTAGGGAGACAGAATTGGACTGGCCCGGTTCACTTAGATTGGCAGAGCCCGCACTGGGACCAAAGAGGACGAGGCCCGAGGAGAGGGGCCACAAAGCAGGAGAAGAAGGGTGGACACCTCGAGACCCCCCTTTTTGGTTTTGGGATACACTTGGACACCGGGCCGGAGGGGAGGGGGCCCGCATGATTCCTCAGTGTCCGCAGGCTGAAATGATGGTGGTGATGCACCGACAGCAGAGCGGCGGATTCCTCCAGAGCTCTACACGCTGCACCGCAACCCCACACCCGAGAGTGAGCCTCCCGCTGCAGGGACACACGCTACTGCTGCACCAAACCGGATTTCCATACCGATGCTTTAGCCAAATAACCGGGTAACAGACAACCCAGCAGCTCCATTCATACTCCACCCTGTCTGCGGGATGAGACGGGGGGCTACGGCGAAGGGAGACCCCAGCTTTCTGCGTTTTACTGCACCTGCTTTCATGTGCATACTCCGGTTGTTTTGAGCAAGAGAAGAGAGGTGGGGGGAAAAGATGTTGGGGCGATGCTACCGAGGCAAGCTGTCGGCATGGGCCGCTCTGTGCGTGCTGGTGCTCTGCTGGTTTTACATTTTCCCCGGCTACAGACTCCCACGCGATAAAGAGATAGTGGAGGAGGTGCTGAGGCAGGGGGAGGCATGGGAGAGGAACCAGACCGGCATCGATTTGTACAGGTTCGTCTCAGGAATCAGATTGCTTTTCATTGATTTCTAGAGTGCGGCCCGGTGCCACCAGCTGTTCTTAAGGGAGACCCTCTTGGTACCCGGGGTCTCAGGAGATGTACAGGAGCAGTGAATTACAGATACGCGAGGGGGATCATTACAGATGTGTCCTTTTTGTTTACCTTTGCACCCACTTTAAGGGGCTGTCATACAAAATGTTTGAAAAATTACAAACCCTGGGTTATTAATAAGGGTTATTCAGGGAAATGGTCATCCCTTTGTGTCAGTAACCTCTATTGTCTGAATTAGGGTCCCTATCAAGAAAATTTAGTAGAATATTTGGGGGTGCATTTTCATCACCCTGCAATATGCTTCAGAACAATTCAGTCAATCTTTTCAGGCTGAAAATTTAAGAGTTTTTTTTTTACTCATTGTTTGCACCAGTTCCCTTACATTCTTTTGTCTGTCTTGGAGTCCCTGACAATGAAAATTTTCAAGGATTTTAGCTTAACCTTATTTTCTTTACCTTGCAATCACTTGATGTCACATAAAAAGGACATGGGGATAATTTTTTTTTAAATATGTCATGTTTAGCTTACAAACATCACCAATAAGGTTGAACAAGTTTTCGTCACCTGACCGTTAAGGTGTTGTAGCATCAGTTATCACAAGAGGAGACATAAACATTGTCCATTTATCCCATTGGCACATGTCATTGAAGAGATTATGATTGATACGCATTAGAAAGTAGTTCACGCTATGATGAAAACCTAGCAGAATATAGACTGTGATTTTGCAATAATAACAATTGAGGTTGTGATCTCTCTAAAATTTTCTTTTTTGACTTGTAGGACATGAACGACATGGGTGTTTTTCTTTTTTTTTAATCAAAATCCACCTTACAACCTCACAACTTTGAGTTTGCAATTAGATATTTCTAGCAAATTAAAGCACCTGTTAGGCATTTTTTGACAAATATAGAATAGACTATAAGTCATATTGATGCCTTTTCATAATGAAAAAAGCAAAAAGGACTACCAGCAACAAGATGCAAATTCATAAAGTACACTTAATACTGTTATCTTTACTACCTCAAACTGGAGTGAGGGGGTAGGTGTCACTGGGGCTGCTGTGGAGGGAGTCATGATTTTGATTTTACATATTGAATATTAACACAAAAATAACACAGTTCACTGATGACAGAAAATAAAATTAGTTTTTTTTGTCAAGAGACATTACTTAAAGCTCCTGTGAGGAACCTTTGTCTGGTTTTGTCACAGGAGCCAATTATTGAATTCAAGCAACTTAAAAGCTTGAAGTGTCTATGAGGGGTTTGGTCACTAATGATATAGACTGAAATTCCTATTGATGTATTTGTATAATACACAAAAGCAAACAAGACCATCAGTGGCTAAATAAACATTGGTGTGAGAGGGTACATGTCAGCCGGGCAGCTGATCCAGCCCTGTTTTGACAGTTTTCCTTGTATAATATTCACAATAAATCATATACTTGACTGTCAGCAGGATGAAGAATTATGTCAAAAATCACTTTTTATATGTGTCAAGGATAAGATAAGCAAAACTGTTTCGACCATAGGTGGTGCCAAAATGAACACAAATCACAAGGCTCTTGATAGTTTCATGAATCTAATTCTATAGACAATGATCCTCACAGATGAAAAAATATGTTAAAGAAATCTTGCAAAATGAAAAAACTAATACTTCAAAAGCAGCTTTTTAGAAATGAGTTTTCAAAATCTCAATTCAAACATCCACTATATTTGCAAGCAATTCATTTGTGAGCATGAGCTGACTGTTCTGAAAGGCAAAGCCGATTAGGATCATCAGGGAAGGTGACACCTGCAGGGCAGTGGACAACACCCACAGGACCAGTGATGTTTGTGCCATAGAGCCTTCATTTGGTCCAATTGTGCTGAGCATGAACAGCTGAGAGGAGGGAAGCTGAGGACAAACATCCTTTTCATGAGCCCATTGTTGAATGTTTTTCATATGTAAAACTCAAAGTGTACACAACCTAAATTTATTATAATTTCCTCTGGTGTAGAGCTCCTGACCTCACACAGTAGTGATTTGTCCCGTCAAACTGAAAAATGTCTTCATCTAACTGCCTCTTGCCAAATAAATACACGATCGTCCTTGCTGTGTATTACCAGAATCCAAAGCCCTTCTTAATCCAATTTGTGTCAAAGTGACCAGACTTCTTATTACATCCATGCTCTCTATGTACAGGAAGCTGCTGACGGAGTGCTGCGATCCCAAGAGGATGTTTGCAGTCACCAAGGAGAATTCGCCGATGGGCAAAGTCCTGTGGTACGATGGCGAGTTCTACCACTCGCACACCGTCAACAACGAGACCTACCCGCTCTTTGTGCAGGTATGAAGTTATGCAAAGATACAGATGTTTGGGCGCCATTTGCAGACCATTTGCTTTGTAGGTCTGTGTTTGTGTGTGTTTTTTAATGACTTTTAGAGTTGCAGCTGTGTTTTCGCAAAGTAACAAGATCCAAAACAAATTTTCTCCCACTCAGTGAAATGTGACACTGGTGCAAGAGAACAGGAGGTTTTAACATAGATACTGGTGATCCATACAAGATGCGAAGAAAGGGCTGTGGAAGAGACAGACACTCTTAGGTGGGGTTATGAAGGAGCATGCTGGAGGGAGAGAGTAGTCAATATTCATTGGGAGAGATGTGAAAGGGCAGGCCTGGTAGAGTAATTTAATACCTAAAAGAGGTTCATATATCAGTATGATGCTGGGATATTATCACATATTACACAGTTCTCTTTCTTTTCATATTTATGGCCTTGATAAGCCACATTAAAATTCAACAATAGTTTCTGCTTTTTGTTTAAAGCTCCAAATATGTCTCTTTGTTCTGTTGTGCAATTTTCCACTGAAGTTTTTAAACCACGAGTTTAAGTGGGTGAATGCAAAGGGAGGATGTGCAACCAGTTTCGACCCCGCAAAGTAACTTCCTTTTCCATGGAAGGAAAGTAAAAGAGAGAAAACACAAACCTCGAGTGTGCATTTATGCCTCTGTGCATGTGTATCTAGATAAGGTCTGTGGGGCTATTTTTACATGGTTCCATGCCTGTGTGTGGGTCAGTGGGTGTATGTGTGTGTACATGTGGATGAGGGTATGCGTTTGTGCCTGGAAACAGGACAAAACGGGAAACTCTGGTCTGAGTGCTGTTGCTGTGGTTTTTGTATCCAGGGGCAGCACATCTTGCTAATAGTCAAGACTGGATCCCCATTACTGATCTGCAGTCTCATATCCTGGCCGGTAAACACGATGAATAACTGACCCTAATTTGCACGTGTGAACCGAGCATGTTCATTCATGAGGGATGGGGGGAGGTGAGGGTGAATAAATGAAGAAATGAGAATATGAAGCGCGAGGGAAGCCGAGCTGAACCACTGTGTGCATTAATGTGCCGTTGTGGGCATGTCTTGTCAACCCAGAGTTTAGTATGTGTAGTAAGTAGAATTTAAAAGCTGCTTTATGAGTGGTGATGCTCCAAATCCAGAATGAATTGGATCTGCTTTAGTTTTAATTAATAATTTGGGTCATTTTTCAAACAGCAATGCCAAAGATTTACTGGCTGCAGCTTCTCTGTTGCTTCGATCTGCTGTTTTCCTTTCTATCATATGATGGAAACTGACTGTTCTGGGATTTAGGTTTGATGGTTGGACAAAGCAGGAGATTCCTAGGAATCAAACTGGTTTTGGAAAGTGGAATTTAGAAATGTTTATGGCTTAAATCCAGAATAAATCAGTTTGGATTAGTAATTTGGGTCATTTTTGAAGCAGGGATGGAAAGTACTTGCTGGTTAAACCTTTTGTTTTTGCAAAAATGTGCTAGTTTTCTTTCTCTTTTATGACGATTCATCATTTTAATTGCACGGTATCAATATTAAATTCTAAAAGTCTCAAAAGTTGATTGTAGTTTTGAAAATTTCTGCAGACATCTAAACAACCACTGGAGTGGTGCATCAATCATGTGGATGCAAGGACAGTTTGCTCATGATGGATGTGTGGAAGTATTATGAGGTGTTGGAAACAGGCAGCGCAGAAGCTGTTAGCAATACTTGTGAAGCACAGGTGATACAGTTATGCATCTCAAGAAGCATCATCCTGAGCAGCAGCGAGGGTTTCTAAAGAGAGAGAACGAAACAGCGCCAGTGCCTCTAATTCAGTTATTCCACAAAGCTAAAAAATGAAGCAGCAGCTACCCAAATGTGAATGAGCTTAAAGCTACTGTAAGGGTTTTTTATGTTGAGGAAATCGACTGAAATTCAAGCGACTTTCTGATTTCTGTCCAGCTATCTGAAATTATTATGAAACACAAATATTCAAGGCGAATATTGATGTTAAAACTAGAAGAAAAAGTAAAGTCAAATAGAAATCCATTATTATAGTTAAACAGTGGTTGTCTACTCTAGTTAAGTGTTTCAGATGGATTTGAATGAACGAATGAGACATGGCTGACAAAAATATCAAAAGCAGACTTTACATGAAACACCAGCCAGAGACTGTAGTTTTGATTTGGTGTCAGCAAGGATGGGAACTTACTTAATATCAGTATATGTTGAATTCAGTTTGAAAATACTGGCAAATCTGATAAAAACGTGATATTCCTCATCCCTACAAACTATCAGGAAAGAAAATATTAAAGATTCACGTATTTGTTGCATTAAATGTGCAGTTTGAGGGTACAACTATTGATTTTGTGAAATGTTCTGGACATTTTTGACTTAATCTTGACAGGATATTGACAAAAACCTCCAGCAGGGAGAATGATACACACATTTATAACGATGGAAATCATCATTTTATGAGGCTCAGCCCTTTACATGTTTCCAAAATGAACATTATTTGGGGTGAATTGCGCCTTTTGGTGAACATACCTTCACAAATTAGCCTTAAAAAGTTGTCCCTGACCAGTTTCATGCATGGCCCCTTTTACCAAGAAAAACTGTAAATTTCCTCACAGACAGGTTATCAGTTTCACATCTTTGCGCCACTCAAGTGCCGGTTGGTTTCTGTCTCTTTGTGAAACTTGAGACAGGTTGTGGTTTGTACTTCCAGTAAGTAGGTGCAAGTTCTCTGCAAGTTTGTGTCATGCATTTCTGTTTCACTTCAGAGTTTTTCCCCCCACTGTAAGCTTATCTGTGGTCTGTTACGTGCCGGGGGTAACCAGTGGTTTGGTGGGATGCATGAAGCACAAGCTTTCTCACACACACAAACATATTCTCTGCCCTCTCAATTACCGGTGCTGTGATTGCAGGTTTGAACAGCCTCACTACTCCAGCCTGGCAACAGCTACAGTATCTGAACATGCGCCAGGGAATGTGCCAATTTGGGCTTTGACAGTTAATTGCGGGTTGGTTCAGTGGCTTGAACAGAGCGTCCATACGCACAGTTCACTGGACTGTAGAGTAGGTCTATATGATCTCGTTTTTTTCTGATGTTCCCTTCGTGTACTTTTCCTTTTTATCACCCCATGCTGAAGAAATGTCACGGGATAAAAGGCAAATAAATAAAATAAATCTCATTATTACACAGACACTGTAAAACCAAACAGTAATTAAGACAGTAGCTGCCTCCAGTGCTCTTAAATGTGAGATTTGATCTACTTCATCTGAGCTTGAAAATCTTTCAGCTGGGGGCTGTGTCAGAATGCTAATTCAGTAACATTTGACCATTTCTGAAGCTTTCTAAGCTGCCGGTTATGAAGTCTTATCAGTTGCTGTTCTACTTAGTAAAACCCCAAACTAAAAATGTACAAGACTGTGGTTAAAGATCTGGATTTATGACTTTCCGGAAATAGCTACATGACACATGCTACTGTAGTAAGTGTCCCCCCTCTTAAGTTTTATCCCCACTTGCTGGTACCCCTCCCCGGCTTAATGTGCTGTTAGCAGGGTATTGTCCTCTGACTCAACTCTGTCACGCTCTAAAAGAGACCCTGAGGCAGGCTGAGTGTGTGTGTATTCTCAATTTTGTGCACTCGAAGGAGAATAATGGGCACAATTGTTTCCGCCATCTCCCCTAATCCATGCCCCTGACTTAAATGCAGTCTGGGCAAAGGGAAAGGACATTTTTGGCTGTTGCTTTTTGAAGCGCAGTGTTTCAGCATTCTTAAACAAACATAATACAATATACTGTTCAACGTGAAGATTCGATTTAGATAATGATAGGTGATTTGATTTTAGAGGGAGAGGACTTCCTTTTAAACCAAGGGGTTTGTGGAGAGATTGTTGATACTTCTGTTTATTTAAAGCAATATATTTGATTTTGAATAAAAATAAATGCACATAGCTACTGGATGAAAAGACATTTAATGGTAAGCTGACTGAAACTTATTAATGGGTAAAAGAGTTAGATTACTTGTTTGCTTCGGGTCAAAGGTGGGGTAGGCAGGATCTGAGGAAGTGCCAGTTTTTGGGAGAAATCCTCAAAGATGAATACTTTAGATAATTACAAATGGGGCCCGGTCAATGTGAAAGTAAAAAGCATTGGTGCTGCTGTAGATGCCAACAGACTACCAACAAACACAATGTTTGCAGGACTTCTACAACTAGGATAAAGTGACATAGTCCAGGACCCGAGGTAAACAGTTTAGTGGCGCTACCACACACAGCAGGTCCCGTTTGATAAGAAACACTTCTGTTACAGACACTTTGTTTACTTTGTTAAAGCGGTTTACCTGTCCAGCAGAAGGGTTACAGGGTCCAGAAGATCCCAAAGCCTCCCCCATTGTTTATGCTAGATTGATGTTGACCTGGCTTTTTTTTTAGCTCTTGTCCAGGTGGTCTATCTCCTTTTTAAGCACCCGTTATTCAGCCAGAGTCTACAGTATTTACTTTGTTTTCATGCTTGTGTTGGCAGTCATAGCCAAAAGAAGGACTCAGACAATTTTCCATACTTTCTGGTTCGTTTCTACTGTCTGATATTGTAGCACGCTAACTTTGTTTGAGCTCGTGAACATTATTCAGGACGTGCCTCACAATACGAGGGAGCAGCGTCTGCCTCACAACCAATCAGGGGGAGGTGGAGAACGGCTTTGTTTACAGTCAGAAAGAGCGGGCCGCTCAAAAAATTAAAAATTTCCGTGTAAAAATTACACGGACATAACAGAACACAGCGATGTTGTTATATTCCCAAATGTCATCAATAACAAATAGTTATTGACTGATATTAAAACCTTTTTTGTATATACACCACAAAAAAAGATGCCTCTTTAACAGAATCCTGCCTAGCTTGCTTTAACAGCTAAATTTGCCAAACTAACAGATAAACAGTTCAGTGACCTAGATGAGGAAAATGAGTGAAATAGTTAGCTTAACATTAGTGGAAATCAACATCAGTGTTTGTGCCAGTAGCTCTGTTTGTTAATGGCCAGATGGTTGTGTTTCTGTGAACCCTAACCAAGCTGTACTTTTCCTTCTGCTCAGGACAACCCTCTGCAGCTGCCCCTGAAGAAGTGTGCTGTGGTGGGCAACGGTGGCATTCTGCGGCATAGCAAATGTGGACGGGACATTGACCGAGCCGACTTTATCATGCGGTGAGAAAAAAAAAAGGGACTCTTTAGTGTTTCTTCGCCGCACAATCGAATTGAAACTGCCGAGCCAGAGTGAGACAGAGTGAGAGAGAGAGAGCAGCCAAACACCATTAGCCATCAGTGATAATGAACGCTGGTGTCGAATGTGGCCAAGAAAGACAGACAGACAGAAAAATGGGTCACAGCGAGGGCAAGAGGGAAATGAGGTTAGGCATGAGAAAGCAAAATAGGAGGAGGGTTAGATAAGGGAGGACGAGCAGATGAGCAGAAGGGCATGAAGCAGAATGAAACCATCTGGATGTGGGAAATAAAAGGGGACACTAAGACAAACAAAGCTGCTGGATAAAGCCTGTGAGATGGTTTTGAGGTCACACAAGGAGACACAATATGAATATGAAGTAAAGGAGTTTTCCCTCTTGATGTGGGTGATCATCCAGATGCTTTTGTACTGGTTACTCACTCTGGAGGAACTGAAACCCTCTTTTAGGACATGTGATGTACTCCAAAGTGCTGAAGCAAATCAATCTGAGGGAGATCTAATGTGAGATGTGTAGGTCAAATTAAACCTTGAACAGGAGGATACATGTATGCAATCTTACAGTCAGTGCGTTTACATGCACAGTTTAATCGGACTAAGCTCATAATTCGTTTTTTTTTCGCCAAATCGGACTTCTCTGCTTGTCCACGTATACATGCAGCTGAGAAAATCGAATTATTGACGTGAACATGTCCTCCTCCCCAAAACTAGGGGGCGATATAGATCTTTTCATCCGTGCTGTTTCCAGACCTTTTTAAAAGATGTCTCCATTCCTCGTTTTGCGACCGTCCATGTACTTTAAAATGTCCATTTCTGTTAGGACGGAAAGCATAACGGCACTCTCCTTGTCGTTCCAAAAGTGGACACTTTTATGTTCCTAAGCCAAGCTGCAGTTGCTTCTGAGTCGAAAGTTCTTTTAATGATAGTGCCACGTCTTCTCTGGTGTTTTTTTCCGGGGTTTATGGAGGCGTGGCGTATGCGCATATGCATTGTTCAATCACACTCCAACTACGCTGGTTACATGGCAGAGAAAATCGAATTGCAAACGCATTTTCTGGGTGTCTTAATCGGAGTTCTCAAACTCCCATTATAGTCGGACTAAGGTGTTCACATGCACTTCAGTTGTCCGGTTGTCTTAATCCAAGTAAGGCAATAATTCAGTTTTTCTCAAGTGTCATGTAAACGTACTGACTAATTATAATGTCACAAAAACAGCGCACTACATACCCACATACTTTACTGTTTTTCTGTCTGTCACTATGCAAGTATATTGATCAGCAGGTTGATCAGGTTCAGCCCAAAGTACAAATACACTTCAAGTTACCTGGAAATGTCTTCAAACGCAAATACATGAGCCAAGAGTGAACCTCACCGTACCCCAATGCAGCCGGATTAGAGATGTTTGTTATTTTGCGGAGACTCACCCCAGTAACTATAACACACTCTGGGTGTAATGTGTCTGATTTAACATTTTGTGAAGATGTTATGGCCAGCGTGTGTTATAGTAGTATTTGCCTGGAGCGTTAACTCCTACTCTTTCAGCCCCCTCAGAATAAAAAAAACAGATCTTCAGCAGGCTTTCCTTGTAAACACACACATCAGCACAGCCATTATAATCAAATGTAATCAGGAGAGAAACAGGCATGGTGAATTGCTGTGGTGTTTCTGCTCTAAGTGCATGAATAACTGATTCAGATTAGCACATGTGAAGCACGTGAAATGCTAATTTATCTCGACTCTGTTTCGCTCCTTCAGGTGTAACCTTCCACCGCTCTCAAAGGAATATGTGGAGGATGTGGGAACCAGAACGCATCTGGTTACAGCCAACCCCAGCATTATAGAGAAAAGGTACTGAGTGGGCTTTTTGAATACCAAAAATTACAATCACACTCAATTCTGTTTTTGTATAACCCATCGCACATCCATCACTTGGAAAGCATGTGTAACAAACTGCACTTTTATTACCTTTTTTTGCACTCTAAAAATTCAGCTGCACCCAATGTGAAAAATGACTTACTGCCCAGAAAATGGCGCTAAAAAAATAGCAATCACTTTGCCGCCAGAGCTTGCTGGATTCACATCAAGAAAGATGAGTCTAGCAACGCCATTTTACAACAGCTTTCCTCCATCTCTACCCTTGAAATGGCAATGTAAAAGGGGCTATGAATGAAAAAAGTTAACTTACAGATTTAAACCTGCTGTTTAGAAACACCAGTAAGAATCATTGAAGCCTTTCGGGAAGAATTAAGGAAGACATCAAAGTTTGCAGCAGCACAGACATGTGTAGGACAGAATAAAATGAATTGTGGCAACAAGAAAAATTAATCATTAGCAAGAAAAAGATTCCCGAAAAGAAAGAAAAGTGATGCAGAACATCTGTCAAAGACATTAGTAGAGGAAAGAGTTTTTTTCTTGGAGTTGGAGTAGATTAGAGGTTATCAGGAAGCTTCTTCCATCTGCTCAAGTTGAACTCCGTCCTGAAATCTTGACCATCTTAAACTCTTTCACCAGTGGGGACCCTTTCCTGTAGTGTGGCAACACAGGAAATTCATTTCCCGTGTTGACACTCAGAGCAAAAAGGAAGGGGGGACAGCTGGTGTTAAAGAGCAGATAACTGTGAGCACGACTTCAACAAAAGTCTCCTTTTCCTCTCCTTCTCACTCTCAGATTTCAGAACCTCCTGTGGTCTAGAAAAGCCTTTGTGGAAAGCATGAAGGCCTATGGCTCCAGCTACATCTACATGCCTGCCTTCTCAATGAAGCCTGGCACCGACCCATCACTGCGGGCGTATTACGCCCTGGCGGACACCTCCTCCGACCTCACCATGCTCTTTGCCAATCCAGAATTCCTTCGCACCGTGGGGAAGTTCTGGAAAGGCCGCGGCGTCCACGCCAAACGCCTCTCCACGGGGCTCTTTCTGGTCAGCCTGGCCTTGGGGCTGTGCGAGGAAGTGACGGCCTATGGTTTCTGGCCGTTTTCCGTCGGCCTGGATGAAAAGCCGGTCAGCCACCATTACTACGATAACATCCTGCCCTATAAATGGTTTCACGCCATGCCGGAGGAGTTCGTCCAGCTTTGGCACCTGCATAAAAGCGGCACTCTGCGCATTAGAGTGGGACACTGCCCCCAGCAGGAAGGAGGGAGTTAGAGTAGGTTTTGAGGAGTCAGTGGATTACAGTGAGCTTTGGGAACCAAACGGAGACGGAAGGTTGCAACGAAAACGGGGGCACACATTCCCTTGTGAACCCTTTGTGAATCCTGTGGTGCTGCATCTGTGTCCATTCACGCTCCTGCTGTCCCCCCCACAGCTAATCCTTGATTTCCATGAGAACATTCTCCCCTCAGACCTGCAGCATCAGGGAAACATGACGCCATACACACACACACACACATACAATGTAAAAACTCATACATTCCCAAACATGCCATACTCCCTCCTCTCGGTTCTTAGATTTGTGTGTGCATGGATGTGTGTTTATTTATCGAAAGCCTTAACCGGGACTAAACGTGGACTTTGCAGGGACGGATGAGTGGGGGATGTGTTCTCTTTTTGTATGTATGTTGACTACTGTATCTGACTGACATATGGGGCAGCTGGACCAAAACCCCCTCCCCCTCTGGGTCTTTGTTAATCAGAGACAGAAGGAGAAGAGGACCGAGGGGGGTTATAAAACGCACTGAGAGACTGGCAAACCGCAAGAAAGAAGGGAGAGATAGGGGTTTTCTGGTACCTAGTGGCTTGAAAAGGACGTGAAATGGAGGGGAGAAAAGAGAGTCGGGGGAGAAAGAGTGAAAGCTGGCCGGTTTGTGTATGAAAGGATTTTCTTCTGCTTTTCTTCAACCAACCAAGCGCTTGATTGGCATTCTCTGGTGCCAAATAGAGCTTTAGTTCAAAGCAGGAGCAATTAGAGACAGCGTCTTAAGTACTATATACCGTCGAATGTTTAGCCAAGTTGCTTTTTTAAAACCCTTCACTGAAAAGGGAACATCCCAATCTTTTTGTGTTTTGTTTTTTTTTTCGTTTGCCAAATGTGGTGACAAAATGTGAATTCTTGCTGTTCATCAGTGGCCATGAATAGAAGGGAGAGATTTAACCAACCTTAAAAAAAATCTGAATTAATCGCAAAAAAAAAAAAAAAAACATCACACATAAGTACCTCACAGACTGACTGCTCAGTACATTTCAGTCACAAGTAGGCTTCTTAGGTCAAAAACAGCCAGAAATCTCTCAGTAAATGTTTGATACTTGCCAAGTGCCAAGCCGAGGGAACAGTGCGGTCTTTGATACGCACTCTTGCACTGTCCTTGTGCTCCCAAACGGCAAGATAGTCAGAGACTCTTCAGGACTTGATGTCACAAAACGAAGTCTACATTAGTGTATTCACTAGCTGGACTTTTTCCCTCAAAGTCATACTCAGGGTGGGAAGCTTAGCAGGGGTAATAATGTACTGCTGTGTTCCAGGTTTGAAGTCATGTAAACACTGACGCTGCTTACCTCATAGGTAAACAGCTAAAAAGACAACAGGTCATCATAAGTCAGTGTTTCCCCTACAGTATGTTTGGCAGGGTGCCCCGCCCTGCCAACGAGATCCCAATGAGATCCGAAACGTGTGTCACATTAAAGCTCCTGTGAGGAACTTTTTAATTTTGTGATTCAGTTCCCCTCTTGGATGAAGCAGTAATTCTCTCCTTACTGCTGATCTTGTCCTAAGTAGTGTTTCCTCACAAAGCAATCCTGCTTTACTTACACAGTTACACACGTGACTCATTGTGAAGATTCATGACCATCAAAAACTCTTGACTGGAGCTTTAATTTTGGCTAAAGACAGTTTGCAGTGGTCAATGCTACCATTAGCTGTGGCCAGCTGATTACTCCCTCTTGTATTTCACTTGATGATAATCCAAACATGTCAGATTCCTGTTCGTGTTTTTGACGACTTCCAAACCTGGTATACACAAGCTCAACATGCTAACAGCTTTTGTGCTTCCTGCTCTGAGTTTGATGTCAAAGGAAAATGATCGCTGTGTGAGTAAAGTGAACGACTGATCCTTTTTTGTCTTGAGATGCTGGGCGTCATTCATGAATTGTGATTTAATTGTGTGATTACCAGAGTAAACATTTCACATCAGAGTACAGGAAGGACTTAGCCTCTACTCTGGGTTTTATTATTGTGATTTTTTTTAAACTTTTTTTGTTCTAGCACAAGGGAAATAACCCTGGAGTGGCAGACAAGGCTTTTGTGTTAGTTCTGCTTTTGTTATTTTTGGTACTTGCTGTTTCTACAAGATGTTATTTAAGAGTGACAGATGTGACTGTGCCATATTGTGTTCGCCACAACAAAGGATGACTCTGCATGGAAAGTGCATGAGGCGCACCACCATTGAAATACTTGCGTGACTCAAGGTACCATTCATGCTGTTAGGCTGAAGCATGGGTTTTTTTATTTGCTCCTTGTCTGTTGGACTGATTAGGACCCGGTGCCTTTGAGATGCACAAATCCAGAATGACCAAACGAGGGATATTTCTAATGCTTATCATGGTTTAAAATGTGTTTTTTTTTTTTCAGCAGTGCTTGGCTTTTTGGATCAGTTGGACTGTATGTGAAAATGTTGTGTAAAACTAGATTGAAGAGAGCCGCATGCTGGACTAAGTCAAAAGAAAATGTACCAATTCCTCGTCCAAATGCACTCATGGCTCCAGAAGAACTGAGCTCGACCAACATGCTTTTAATTGTGAAGTTTCTTATTTGCACCTTTTTTAATTTTTGCTCTCCTGTCCAGTATTGTGAATGAATGAGACGTGACTTAGCGTGGATTTTTGAGTAAGCATGATGAATTTTAATATGTATGTGCTTTTGGTACACAGATTTGTATCTATTTCCATTACCTTCTGATTCATGGCCTCATTCCATCCTATCTGAGTGACTTAAAAAAAAAAAATCAGTGCAAAGCTTCGATTTCTTACCAAAAGGGAGATGAGTCAGTAATGTAAATATAAGACTGTTAGCATCAATGTCCAGTAAGTTAAGATCCGCAGTTCTTCTTTAAAATGTTCGTATTCAAAAGCTGGATGTTCAAATAAATTGCATTTACTGCTGATGGAAAACATCTTTGGCGGCATGTTCTTCCTGCTTTAACTTGGTCACATTGCAAATATCTGTATGCAAGGATGCTAAAAACCTTCTTTGTACATTTCATACGCAAGTCATAATTTAAAAAAACACCCACTTTGTATATTCTTGACAGTTTTTGTTGTGAATCCAAGGCGATAGTGATTTTTCCAGGCTTGTTGTAAATAGCTGTAGCCAGTCAAGCTACTTTACAGTTTCATCTTCATGCTTGTGTTTTATTAACTTATCACACAATGTCTGTGTCAAATCTGAAAAGAAAATGAATCAACAGTTTCCCAAATTCATGGGAGGACAGAAACTCTGCAGGAATCAGCTTAGCTCAGCAGAAAGGCTAAAACAGCAGACAGTTCGCTAACCATTACCTCTCATGCTTGTTAATTACCAAGCGTTCCTGCATTCACTTATTAACTGTAGGACTTTTGCTGTGAATTTTTTTGAAAAGGTAGGCGAACTATGATCAGCTGGTCAGAGCCCTGAAGCTAAATATTGTTAGTGAAGAACATGAGTTTTACATTTTTTGTAGCTAAACAGACAGCTAGCTGTTTCCTGGTTTGAGTGCTTATGCTGAGCTAAGTGAACCGTCACATATATAAGAAAGAGAGAAAATTTATCTGTCAAACTGAGGAAAAGGTTAAAAGGACATTTACTATTTCTTGGAAGCCACACAAAGGATTGTCAGAAAAAGTGGAACAAAGCAGAACAAAATCGATCCAGGCAGGTACACAAAGGCAGCATTTATCATCCTCCCTCCTTGTTGACTGATAGCATTCATTCAACTGCAGCTTATGTGGCTGCGGGGTGACCTATTGGTTAAAGTCCTGTCATGGAGAGGCCGCATGCTTGATGCACATGGCTGCCGTATGATCTGCTTCGTGTCCGTTGTGAGGACATGGAATTCTTAAATGTGAAACCTGCCGCGGTGTAGCTGTTTAAACTGTAGCTTTCAACCAGCTGTTGATAGTGATGTCTTTGTACAGGTCTCAAATGTACAGATACAGGAGATTGAGTTTTTCTGTTTTGCCACCAGAGTTCATATCGAATGATAAAAGCATATATGTAAACTTTTTCTTTGGCAGGTAATAAGATAACCCTGGTGCAGTGTAGGTGTTGGTTTCAGCCCCTTCCATGATACACTAGTGTCTTTTTAAATGCTTCTACCAGGGGCACCAAACTCAATTCTTATATTTGACACTTAAAAAAACTTTCAATCTTTTTTCTTAAAATCAGGTTACACAGGATAAAATTTACCCAAATCCAGCCATCCAGATTTTTTTGTATAAACAAATGGGAAAACACATTGTTGCTGATGTTTGACCTGTTTTTGATCCATGCTTTGCCAGAGGGTTTGAAGGTTTTTTAACATTTGAATATTTGATGTTGTTCCAAGCTTGCTTGATTTAAACATGTATTAATGTGATTTATTTATTTGCTTCAACTGGCTTTTTTATTTTTCTTGGGCAATGGCGAGGGAAAAAAAAATGAAACAGCTGTCATTCAAGTCATCTACTGTGAACTTCGCTGCCTGAGCATGTTACAGATAAACTGAAAATGCAAAATGGACAAATCCAATCATGTGCCATTTGGGGAAAACAAACCCTCCAAAGGATAAGTGAAAAAAGAAAACTGCTAAAAAACAACCACATCCATATCGGAAAACTGGTGTCCAATAAAAGACTGAAAATTATGACATGTAGAACTGTGTTTTTCTTTCGTGTTCGGCTGGTTGTGATCTTACCCGGGATTTCCACCGCATCTGGAATGGCTCCGATCCGGAACAGAGGCGATTTTTGTCGTGCGGCAAAGATTATGGACAGCAGGAATCGCGAGAACTCACGCAGATTCATGTGCAATCGCACGATATCAAGTTGTCTTTAGCCACATAGGCTAACTATATAAGCAGAAGATTGTGTCCTTCCAGAGGAGGGATTCTACTTCTAGATTTATAAAATCAGCATCCCCTAATCCATGGTGTCATCGGGATGAAATACGTCTATAAACCTTTCACTTGTTCGCCCCCGCCCGTTTGCATGGTGTGAAATACGACCCGCCTGAAACATGGAGTGTTTTATTTTGAAAAGAACCCGGATGTTTTATTTTGTATCTGTGCCCATCTTCCTTTCCAGCACAGGTTAATCAGTGCTGAATTTATCCGGCATGCTCTGGCGTCCAGAAAAAATAGAACTCTTGCGATCAGCTGCAGAGTCCGGCGATCCGCAATGGAACAGAAAGAAGCTGGTGGAAATTGACACATTGACTTAAATGGTTACGATCAGATACGATCGGCAGATACGGCCTTCTCGTAGCCGTTCCGGATGCGGTGGAAATTGCCAGTTACGCTTCAGCCAACAATTGTAGAGCAGAAGCAAGACAACTGTTCTGTTTTTCAGTAAGAAATTTATAACCGCCTTCGTGGGAAAACAGATTATTTCTAGGATTCTGTGTTACTCTGTGTGAGTGCAAAGGAATTCTGCTGCCCATGTTTTTTGTTTCAGCGGTTAGAAACATTTCTGCTACCCGGCATCAAAGAAACCCTCTGTTTTGCCACAGTCCTGTCTGCATGGCCTGTTTTCTGGGCCATAAATTTTTAAACATGCATCAGCAAAAAGCTATGCAAGTGTCTCCCAGGCCCGGTTCCCGTTGGACCTTTCAGCTTCACATTTATGATCAAGGCCCTAATTTGTCTATCTGGTGTGGCGAGATAGCAGAGAGGATGGAGCATATTAAGGATGATAGGGATTTAATTATTGAGGTAGAAAGGAGGCGGATGAGTGAGGACTGTGGCATGCAATGAGTGTTGTGTGATTAATTAAGAAGAGGTTTGAACAGAAGTGATTGATAATTGGTTTTAACAAATCAAACACACAGGAAGTGTGGTTGGTAAAGTCAGTTCACCAGCCATTTTCAATATTTAGTGGGGTTTTTTTATTCACCACATGACTGCAAAAATGTTCATCTTCTCCCAAACACAGATCGTCAGATCTTCGGTTATTCATATATACGTCAGCTTTTAGTCCCATGCTGCAAATATAGCTAAACATCAGCCATCACTTTACATGCTGCCTTTCACCAGCATTTAAGCAGTAAGACAGCTGCCATGAAAACTGCCAAAATAAAAGCCTCAAAAAGTTATTTTTCCCAGTTACTCTGAATTATACGCTCAGCAGCCCTGCTTCACTTTCCCTCCACCTGTCTATTTTTCACTTTTATTCCTGGCAGCCTACCCATAAAAAGCAGCAAATGCTAAAACTTGGGGAGGATTAAGAAACTATCCCTCTCTCTCGCATGCACCCAGTCTCTGCCCTAATAAAGCCTATAATAGCAGCCCTGGATACGGGTGAGTGTTTTCCGCAGCAGAACCTGAAGCCATGTGAGAGGTTTGGTTTGTGTTTGTATTCGGCTGCACTGAAGTCCTCATTAGCTATATCTGTCCTTAAACAATTACTTCATTTTTCTTGTTAATTCTTCTTACAGATGAGATACAGGTAAACTACTAAGAGCCGCATAGTGGAGGAGATTCATGCTGTAAATGTGACTGGACAGTGAGGCGGCTGTAAATAGTATTTTGGGACGGTCAAATCACCTTCTGTAAGTCTATAATGAAAGAGGGAGTGAGAGACTGTCTGGTTCAGTCTTGTTTTTATTTGCTTTACTCTCATTATCAGGCACCTTAACAAACTGGAAGAGTCAGTCACTGTTTTGTAACTTTTGAGAAGTTAACATTTAGTTATCCAACAGCATTTTAATACAGAAGTTTTTACAGGAGTTTTTGCTTTTATAAATTCAACTTTTTTTTTTACTAGTTTTTCTCTTTTTAATAAACATCTAGCTGCCATGTATACAGATTTTGTTATAAAAATGGCTTTGTCTTGTGTCATAATATTGGACCAGATGGGGACCAATGACATGCCTTTGGAACCAGCCTCTAGTGGCCACTTGAGGAACTGCACTTTTTGCCACCCAAAAATAGTTTCATTTATTTTATGGACATAGCACATTGTGCCTTATCCTGCAAAGCTCGAGCTAGATCGCAGCTCTTAAAAGGATTTAAGTGCTATAGTAATCACATGAGTGCTAGTTGATACCATCCATCACCACCAGTTCAGTGCATTATGTATCCGCGGTTACACAAAGTGGCCTCTGTCGCATTTGTTATGACTCTGTGAAGAATCACCTGTCAACGAACGCTACGTAATAGCGACTAATCTTATGGCAGCTACTGTAATGGCTGTAGTTGATATTGTGTTGTTACGGATTTGCACGCACACACACACACACACACACTTTGTCATTCCATTTCTACTCATACAGGGATCCGACCAGCCTAACATTTCAGGTTTGGAAGTCAGCCCATGGATTTCCCCTGGATTCTCTCTCCTCTGACTGACTCCAGACTCCAAGTAACCACAGAAAATCTCTCTATGCAGCACTCCTTCTCTCACCCCTGCTTCACTGGTTCAAGAAGCGTGTCGTGTAACATGCTTACTTGAACTAAAAGAGCACTCTAGCACAATGTGAGTCTTTCTTCAATTTTCCCAAACCAAACAGAAAAAAAGCCTATCTGAACTTCCATAAATGAAGGTAGACTGTATTGTTTTTGACTCACAAACAACGAAGAAACCACCACAATGAAGTGGAGCAATACAAAGACAAATGGTGGCGGTGGCTTAGAGGGACATGAAGAGGTGCACCAAGATATAGAGCTTAATAAATTCTGACAAACTTGTTTTTCTTGGATAGCCAGGCCAGCAGATGCTTGCAGCAGACATGAGGATTCTTTCTCTATCAACTTTGTGTGTTTAAAATAATGTCTTGGAAGAGAAATAGTACACCCCCTCCCTCATAAATGTCATCCAAATGTTGACTTTGGCAACCATGGCCTTGAGTGTTGCATATACAGTGTACTAGTAAAGTAAAGCTGCTGGCCAGATTACCATCTGTATCTGTTTTTGGTTCTGTACTGTGTTTGAATTCAAGGCATCAGTGCCTTTGAGAAGAATATCACAGCTGCTTTGTTTTTCTGTTTTATGTCACACATGATAGTCATCAAATATAGATGTAGTGCTGTCCGGGTTTATCACATACAATCAGGTATTTTTTGTCTATGCATACATACACTTGCTATTGTACCAGAGTTCTATTCAGTCAGTCAGTGCGTTTACATGCACAGCCAAGTGCTATTGTCAAAATAAACCAACTGTTTCAAAAGTGAAATATTTAAACTTCCTGTGTGGAACTTTTCAATAGATTTAAAAAAAAAATTCTGCTGATGCCTTCCTGTCATCTGCAACAGCAAATGAGCCCATCTGTGTGAAGATAAGCTATTTCTAAATAGTGAAAAACAGGGAAAATGGGTCCAGTGGTCAGGTCGGGGCCACGAACGAAACACTTTACGGCACTCAAACCAGAGAAGACACATGCGTTTTTTCTCTTTATTTTGCACTGAAAACGTGCATATCACTGTCACTACACAACTGGTGACAACGTCTTGCAGCAGGAGACTCCTGCAGACATCGTGCCATGCTAAAGCTGCAGCCACGGAGTGAGAACCTCCTCCACACCAGAGACAGACGGGCAGAGCAGCTCTGTGACGCTAACCTCAGTAATCCTGCTACTCCACGTCCGTCTCACACTCCACGGTGGGCTGACCCAGACTCGCTTCCCATTTTAAATACATTTACAAAGTAAGTTGCCTCAAACTGCTCCCAAAAAAGTTAGTTTCTGGACCCCTGACATGCAAGCAAGATCAGCGTCTTTACGACAATACGTGATAAAACACTACCGCTTTTGTCCATAGTGGCTGCCAAAATCAACAGAAAATGAAAACTGCTTTAAATATCCACGATTCAAACTGAAAACCTTGAGGGGATGTTTAAGAATACATATAAACTCACATGTTGCTCTGTACCAACCCATTTATGTACATTAAGTTGTCGCTAAAAGCACTGAATGGAATACAGGAAGGAGTCAAACAAAGGGTTTGTGCATAATGACTTTGTAAGTATTTTAATTTTTCATGTCTCATCATCCATATTTCATATTCTCTGTTGATGGGGCGGCACTCTTGCCCTTCACATTCACCCTCACACATCCACAGTGGCCCTCCCTCAGCTCTCTGGCAGCAAACCCAAAGAAAAGTCGTGGGGACATGCAAATAGAAACATGTTTCCCCACTGGTGCCCAATGTCAGCTCCCATTACATCCAGCAGCAGACCCCATGAGCCAATTACAGAGCACGGCAGCACACTTAAAAGCAAGGGGATTGGCTCCTCAGGAGGAACATCATACACCCCTAGTGTTGACATTATGACAGGATAATAAGTGGAGCTGGTTGGGGGGGGTGAGCTTGGTTCAGACAGGAATGTTTCAATTAGTGAGACAAGAGAGTTAAAGGCTTTGAAAACATGTTTGCTGTTGGCCTTTTTATTCCAACACAGATTTTAAAAATCTACAACCACAGACTAAAAGTTGTTTATTCGTTTTGGGCACTAAAGCCCGACCAATGTCATATGGCTGATTATATCAAGTAATACCAGCCTATCAGAGACAGTTTGCACCATGATAAAGAGGACTGAGGTTAGAAGGCCATGGACAAGAGTGTTTCAGTTGGTGATGAGAGAGAGTCAAAAGATGGTGAAAATGTGCTTTCAAAGCTGCAAAGGTACTTTTATTAAAAACAGAAAATAACTAATTTCTTTC